CCGACGCTCTATCCACTGAGCCAAACCGGTTTGGCCAATTCTTTTTTTAAAAAATCCTCACCTGAGGATATATTTTTATTTATTTTAGAGTGAGAGAAACATTGATTGTTGCCTCCTGCATTGGCCCTGACTGGGTTTCAAACCCGCAACCTCGGTATGTGCCCTGACCATGATCAAACCTGAAACCTTTAGGTGTATGGGACAATGCTCCAAGCAGCTGAGCTATCTGGCCAGGGCCTTTGCAATTCTTGTTTTATATTTTATTTGGAGTATTTTGTCAAGAGACTAAGTAATATCCAGTAATTATATAATCAGTTACTTCTTTTCAAAAGTAATAACTGTCGTCCTAGCCAGTTTTGCTCAGTGGTTGGAGCATAGTCCCTTGGACTGAAGGGTCCCGGGTTTGATTCCAGTCCAGGTTATGTACTTCCGTTGCAGGCCAGACCCCTGGCCAGGGGTATACACCAGCATGGATTAGTCCCGCCACACATGTTTAGACTGTTATGGAGGCTCAGATGCTTAAAAACCAATAGTATAAGCATTCATCCCAATTCCAGGTATTAAGCACTTATTTTTCAGATTATTGGGATGATACCAAGGAGATGCAGACAAGCCCTGGACTTAGGGCCACAGTTTGGGGACTAGTTCTGGCTCTCAGCTTACTGGTCATGGGGCATTGGACGGAGAAGTCACCTCTTTGAAACTCAGCTTTCCTGGTTATGTGGTGAAGGAAATGCCACTGCTAGCGCTGTCAGTGAAACAGGTAGAGACCATGAAAACAGCTAAACCTACAAAACCAGAAGCAAACACTTCTCTCCTTCGTCTATCAGGTTCATTTATTCATTCCTTAGGAAAGCCAGAAGCTTTCGGCCATAGAAAATGGTCCCATAGACTCAAGCCTGGCTGGTGTGGCTCAGTGTTGAGGTTATGTGGTGAAGGAAATGCCACTGCTAGCGCTGTCAGTGAAACAGGTAGAGACCATGAAAACAGCTAAACCTACAAAACCAGAAGCAAACACTTCTCTCCTTCGTCTATCAGGTTCGTTTATTCATTCCTTAGGAAAGCCGGAAGCTTTCGGCCATAGAAAATGGTCCCATAGAACTCATTTTAGCTTGTCACGCGTAAGATAGTCAAGGCTGTTGAGCAGAAATCATCATAAAACTAGGTAACCCTTACTGATCATTTAACGAGACACTTTATATGTAACTGTTTAGCATAACCTTTATAATAACCCTCTGAAGCCAGATACTGCTGTTCTGACTGCCTTAGATAATAGAATTGGAATTAGAATCAGTGACTTATCCATGGCAATGCATCTGGGAAATGTCAGAGTCTGCCCTTGAACCAAGACTGGCTATAGAACTCAAACTTGACCACAGAGCCGTATGCCGTGGTGTTCTCCTATGACAGTGACAGTGGTAAACAGAGATGTTTCCGTTTCACTGCAGACGATGGGCCAACGGACCGTTGCCCCGTTTGTTCTCTGTGGCTTCTCCTACAGTAGCTGGCAGCGCGGTGCAGAGGGCGAGGGAAAGCCAGCTGGGGAGACACCGGTTCCTGAGCAAGCAGGTCAGTGGCACGGGCCCTCCAGCTCTCCGGGTTTTAATGTTGCTGTAGCTGTAAAATTTCAAGAGAAACCGTCGCTTTAATGTGGGGGCTGATCTTTTAGAGAGGCAGAAAGGGACTTCGGTGACATTTTTGGTGATTTTTCTTTTTTTTAATTTACTTTTCCAGGAAAAGCCTTACAAAAGTAATTTATTCATTCTCAATAACTTGGTATGCCCCTGTGAGATGGAGAACACAATAAAAAAATCATCTGGATAAAAGGAAGAAGAAGCTATTTTATGTTGGGCTTTGGATATGACCCATCTGGACCAACAAACATTTTTCTTCCCATGCTGTTCCATAGCTTTTCTTTGCCCATTTAAACAACTTATACATTGTACTAGAAGCCCAGTGCACGAAATTCGTGCGTGGATACGGTCCCTAGGTGCAGCCTACGATCAGGGCCATCTTCCCCAGCTGCTGGCAGCTGGCCCCAGCTCCCACCGCCACCCACCCGGGGTTCACAGTTTGCCATCAGGCGATCGGAGCCTGTGGGCTGCGGGGAGGGACCAAGAAGTCAGCCATTCCCACCTGCTTGCCAGCCCCACCCCCGCTGTGGGTTGTCCTCTGTGTGTGGGGCAACCAGCAGGGCAGGGTCCTTGGCTTGGCACCACCCGCATCCCCTGCTACCCACCCTCAGGTCCCCATTCGCCCCTGGGTGATGGGAGCCTGCTGGCTGGGGAAAGGGACTAAGAGGTGGTCAGTGCACCTCATAGTGACTGGTTGAGCGGTCGTTCCGGTCATTATGGTCGCTGGGATTTTATTATGTAGGATGTTTTAAACACATGAGTGCACTACTTTTTTAAAAAATCTTTATTTTCAAAGTATTACATATGTCCCCTTTTTTTCTTTCCCCATTGACCGCCTCCAGCAATGCACTGCTTTCAATAAAAAAATGAAAGTATTGCATATGTCCCCTTTTTTTCTTTCCCCATTGACCGCCTCCAGCAATGCACTGCTTTCAATACTCCTGAGTTAATAATATTTTAGAGTTTGTATTTCCATCCTCGTTTAATTTCTGTTTTGTTTTTGTTGTTTTTTACTTGTTTGGTGTGTGTGTGGGTGGTGGTGGGGGGGTGTTTGGTTTTTTTTAGTTTAGTTTAATTTCTGTGTCCGAGGATTCTGGGGCTGCTTTATTGCTCGAGGTGAGGAAATGCGATGCCCGGGGCCCATTCTGGCTTCCTTCTTTTTACTTCCTGCCTCAGCGAATCAGGTTAAATGCTATGGCTTAGATTTCATAGGTTCTTGCTTCTGAGCCCACGTTTTTGATATTGGATAGCTTGTATTGTGTTACTGAGAGTATTTATACAAAGAGCACATTCTGTTATGTCCCATATCTTCCAGGGCCCCTTCTGTAAGAAGTAAATGAGAAAGAATGAATCTCACAAGGATATTAATTGCCCTGGTTTTATTTTCATTCTGTGGTGGATACACACACCAATTCAAACGACCTTCTCACTCCTGCAGTCCTCAGGAAAAACCCACGTTTTGAAACAGGGCAACAATAATGGGATCTGCATTGAGAACGTTAGGAAATAAAGTTTTCTGATTATGCCATCCCATAATCTTTGTTAAAAGAGGCTCAGAAAAATAGAGCACATTCAAACTTCATTTGTCCTTATGCTGTGAGACCTCTACGTTTCCAGATGGTCTGTAAAGATGGTTATGTGAAATAAACATCCATAGTTGAAATACAAACATATATTTTGCAAATACTGAAACCTGTTTTGCTAAAATAGTTTGTTTCTAACCATATCAGAACTATGTTTTACAATTAATGAAAGATTCCAAGAAATATGAAGTTTCACCTTCTGATCTTAATATGCCCTGGTATTCCTGTCCTTCTTGTGAAGTGGTTGTAGCGAGATTAGACAAAATTTCATTCGGTGGCTTGTCTAAGGTTAAATGCATTCTTATTTGGAATTAAAAGGTATATCTCCCCTCCCCTCCCCCTTTAATATAGAAAGCATCCATTTACTTTGAAAGCCTACGCTTAGTTAAGGTTAATTTGCTTCTTATTGCAGGGTTGATCTAGATTTAGACAAATAGTAACTGTTCTGTAGTTTCCTTCACTCTCTACTGAATATGTGGCTGTCTTTCTTTATTAGCAATCTAAGCATAAAAACCATCATATTTCCGTTTCTGGCCCCTAAATGAATGAATGAGCTTCAAATAAGTAATCTTGAGAAAATAGGGTTACCTTCATTTTAATAACAAAGTTTCCAATGTGCTCTTCGAAAACAGTTGCTAAGACCTGCTGAAGGTATAACTAGACTTGCTGAAAGAGCAGTTAATAATGCATTTGGGTTAAATGGACAGCTACATACTCTATTGTGTTGAAAATGTCAGAGACACAAGAACTGAATAATGAAAATCCCTTGTATTTTTCCTTTCTTGTCTTTCTTTTTGTTGTGGTGGTTTGTTTGTTTGTTTGTTTGTTTGAGAAACTTTGCTCTTGGGAAATTGAGGGCAGTATCTCCTAACTTTCATAGTCTGGTATTTGGGGTTCTGGCTTGGAGAGACTAGTGCTTTTCCTCTGTGTCATGGTGTCTGCGTTTGCACGAGATAACAGGGACTGCTTTGTATGCATGTGAGGAAGATAAATATATTTGAACTAATGCATTAGTGAAATAAATCATTAAAGGAAAAATGACACAAACTGAAGGCATAGAGTCAGCGTTTTCTGAAATACTCAAAGTGAGAGCAGAGTCGCCACGGGTATAAAATTTAGATTGTGAATCGTAATCATAACCCTGGTGACTGGATCTTGGCAGAACAGAGACAGTATTGCATTCTGGGAAGTTTCACTGAATAAAAAAAGAAGAGTTAAAAAAAATACTTCTGAAGGGATAAGCAAATAAAGAAACAGGAAGAGGCATGTGGAAAGATTTCAAGGAAAGACGTCATAGCCTTTTCCTGGGTCCATGTTTCTGACACTCAGATAAGATCTTTCCCGCCTACCCAGTCCTCGGCCACAGTGGTGGGGTGTTTTGGGGAGCCCGTGGGCAGTTCCATCGTGAGGCCAGACCCTCTGGGTGAGCCGTGGGCTGCATTTTACCTACGCCGGTCCATACAGCGACTCCAACTTGACAAGCAGTTCTCTTGTAAATAGTAAGCAAGCCTCTTCAGAACTGAGAGCATATTGAAACTTCTGTGAACAGCTAAGCTCAATGTTTTCCCATGGAGATGCAATGGTCTGGATGACAAAAACAGCACACTTGGGGAACTGCCCCCAAACCAAAGGGTTGGGAGAAAAGAGAGCAGGAAGTTGAGTGATTGATGTGTGTGTGTACGGCGGCTCTGTGTTCATCAGCTTCCACTAACTTCAATGAAATACCCTCCCCTCAGGTACTTCGGCTCAAAACACTCTGAGGATAACAGGTTTTCCTGAGCGATCAAAGACACCTCAGATGGTGCCGCTCAAATGGAAAAGGGAAGGATAAGACACCCCCTTCGGGATCAGCTTTCTGTGATTCTGGCAGGAAGTACTCTGTGATACAAACACGACAAGAAACATGTAAACCTGCAAATAGGTACGAGGATAGGGTGTTTAGGCTGTCTCCCTCATTCAGACAGAAGTTCCTGGGTAATTTCAGGAACGCGGCTGTCAGCTGCCTCGGGCGTGTCCGCCCCCCTCCTCAGGGGGAATGTGAATACCGCCCATTACATTGGCAATGTGTCCGGACACCCTTGTGGTTGATGGAAAGGAGAGAGAGTTTTCTGTTTCTACGGTGGATGGACCTAGCAAATAAGTCATCCTGCTACTTCCCCCCGAAAACTCGATCATGGATTCAGGGGTGTCCATGATTTTCTATGAAGGAAAATTTAATATTACATTTTAGTCTCTTAAGTGGAGAAAACAAGCACCAAGTTTCTCTGTGAATTTAAAGCGAATTGAGTTCTCAAGCCTTATCCTACCTTTCTAACTAAAGACAAAACTGGCCTGGTTCTAGTGCTGTTTTCCATAACAGAGAACTCTCCTTGCCACTGTTTTATTTAAAACCCAACCCTAAATCACAACCCAATTTACCTGCTGTCTGTTATCCACATAAAGAATTCTCACAGCCAGCAAAGCAGCTTGAATAAAGGGCTCTCCAGAGGAATAAGCCCGACCCCTTACGGAAGAATTCTTCCCAGCTGTTCTTTCAAAATAAACTTCTAAATCTATTTCAGACTAAG